ACTGGTGAAATATGGGTACTGGAGCACCAGTATCACAGAATCTTATAGAAAAGAGGGATTTCTTGAGAAAATGACATTATTTGTTTCTGAAAAACAAATTGATAGTTGTCTGAGGCAAGTTTGGGACATGTTTTCATTATTAACCAGCATCATGTGGTTAGTCAGCTCCAGCTTTGCCAAGACAGATTTTCATGCACAGAACAGTTTGATAGAAATTGTTGCCTGCCTATTATTTGAAAAAAAAACCAACCAAACAAAAAAAAAAAAAAAAAAAACCCAACAAAAAAACAACCAAACAAAAGACAACCAAAAAACCCACCATGTTTTAATCACAGCATTTTCTATCCTTGTAAGATCCTTGGCTCTGACTGTAAAGCTCTTGTGCAGAGCTCAAGCAGGGAGAAAAGATAATAGTACAATGCTCCAGTTAATCCAGGAGCTAATCAGGGATTGTTTAGCCCTTGGCACAAACTGAGATAATCTCTGTGCAGCTCTCACCTGTGCCCTTTTCCAATCCTTGACAACAGTTTGTTGCAGCATATCCAAATTCAGGTAATATTTTAGGAGGACCACTTGGAGTTTTTCCCTCTCTGTTACCCCTGCATTTAGGAAGGTTAGGAAAGGGTATTACAGCATGGGTTTCTTCAAAACACTTTTATTCCAGGAAATGATGACTAAGAACAACACAAAGCCTCCCATTCCATCAGATATTCAAGACAAAATTGATCTATGTTGGACCATCTTAAAAGGATAAATTCACAGCTTCCAAGTCTTATCTGGAAGCATATACAACATAGTCACAAAAGATATCTACTATTCAACTTTTACCGTTTAGTTAGACTTTAGTTAAAGGCTCTGGTCACTCTAAGCAACAATTTTACTTTAGTGCTAGAAGGGTTACATGTTTTACATTTCATTAAAATTATTAGGCCACGATGAGTGAGAATAGATATGATTGCTGAGAATATAATCATGCTAAGGATTTAGATTTCAGAAAAATTTTGAATTTTGTCTATACTACTGCCAAGACCTAATGAGAAGAGGAAACAGACACAGCAAACAGAGACATTTCTGGTTTACCAGAGCTTTTTAAACTAAGCACCACACTGAAAAACTATAGTCTTTGTATTACAAATAAAGGATTTCAGGACTGTTGACTTCTTCTCTTAGTGTTGTCATGCTGTCAAAATCTGTACTGCCCTGGAGATATATACTAAACACCCAAGTGAAATCTGTGATTCTATAGTGCTTTTCTGTTTCAACTTCCTTCCCTAATTTTGATTTCACACATTTCATGCTGTGTGTGCAACCTGCCATTATGTATCTGTGGTTTCTGTCATTACATATCCTTCTTTAATTAATGTCTATGGCCATGGTGAGATCCATTCCCAATGTCAGCTTTTGTCTGACTGCCATGTGCATTGACCTTGTTGACCTCACCTACATTTCCTTTCCAGCTCTCAAATGCCAGAATACTCATAACAGGCTGGAGCCTTGGAAGTTCAGGGACATCTGTTTTCACAATTTTAGCTATCTTGGTTCCACCAGAACTAGAAAGTGGTATTTCCCTCTTGCATGTGTCAGCTGTTGGATCCTTGCAGAGCTTGGTGAAGCCGTGCTGAGTGCAAGGCTGGTGCAGCTCGAACCCTGAGATTGAGCACAGCTCGTGCTGCTGGTGCTTGCAGAGCTCCATCGATCCCCCAGCCCCCTCCCACCCGCCCCGTGGTGCAATCAGCATCCATCAGATCAGTGCAAACAGAGCCTGTGTCAGCCTGGGCTGTGTTCCCTCTGCTAGGAATATTCTGCTTCTTGTATCTCATCATGAGTCTCCACATCTGATTTCTGCTGGCACCCTGCCCTCGTGGCCAGGGGGGAGCTCCTGCCCTGCCATCCAGGAAGAGCTCAGCCAAGTCCTCGATCTGGCACATCCAACCTCCTCATTGTCTGCCACTAAATCCTCAAAAGGGCAGCACTTTGAACTGGGATATTACAGAGACACTTATCTTTATTTCACGAACCTTAGCTAAATTTCTTGTTTGAGCTGGCCTTTAAAATACTTGCTGGAATATAGCACAACTTAATTGTTACTAAAAAACCCCTCAAAAGCTTCAGAAAGATCTAACTACCTAAGTTCTATGGCTTTTAGGTGACTCAAGAAATCCATTCTTCCTAGTACATAAAGAAACCATTTTAGTTAAAGTAATGCTAATTAGTATGTCAAACATTATTCCCTTGTCTCTGCCTTGGTTTTCTTACAAACATTAAGTTTAATCTTTTGACCCAGTTTCGTAAAATATCCCATGAAAATCATGCAGGCTAATTTGTGGTGTGAGTTCTGTATTGCAGAGAAAATAGTACCATCAATAGGACCTACCTGTGGGACATTGAGTTGACCAAGAGAAGGTGAACCAGCCCAAGTCAGAAACAGGGTAAGTTGAAGCGTCTGTGGCAGACAATAGCAAGATTATGTTTGTGAAAATGCCAACACAGCCTAGACAATACAGAAACTCCAAGATCCTTCCACTACAAGAACTGTCAAAATGGACTGCTTACACAAGTTATTGAACTTTGTAGCTGTTATCAAGTTGATAATGTTTTTCAGTTTATAGTTACGTTCCTAGGAATATTTCAACAGTTAAAAAGTATATTTATCTGAGAGTCTTTTATTAGCCTTTGCTATTTCTTTTGCATATGTCTTTTATTTTACCAATTTTTAGGAAGGAACCGAAATTATACACAGTAATCCATAACCAACAAATGACACTAACACCCCAGTTTCTGATGCTTCATTGGGTGTTTTAAGATTGAATACAAGGCCTCTGCTCTGTACAATTTTAAGTTCCTGTTTACAGATTTTTAGCATAAAATCCTTCTATTTTGTTCATTAACCAGGACTCTCTCTCTTTTTTCTAAACAAGAAAAAGGGAAAGGTTGTGGTGTGATTTCTTTTTTATTATTGTTTTCAATAGTTGGTTTTGTAACCGTCCCTCCCCTGAGGCATTGGTTTAGCCCTTGCTGTCAGTCCTCCCTCATACCTACCCCTTGTTGCAGAGAATTCCTTGTCATTTATGTATCCCTTGCTGCCCCATTGGTTTAGTTAAAACTGTTCCCCTCCCCTGGAATCCCCTATTGGTTTAAACATTGTGATCCCTGCCCTGTGTTTATCCCCTGCCACCCTGCTATTGGTTCCGAGTCCCCAGCTGCAGCCTGGTCCTGCAAACGCTCCTTACACTGAACTTAGAGAAATCTGTCAAAATTTCCAAAGATTTTGGCTGATATTCCCCATATTTCAAAAATCTCTTACAAGTAACCTTCTCTACTTGTTCCCCATGACCTCTGGCAGATTATGTCTTTCCTTCTATCACCTACAGAGCTACTTCTGTGGGAATCAATTTGGAAAAAACAATTAAAAACATTAGTACAAAATTATCAACATTAGCCCAAAACAAACAGGACAGAGATGCTGTAAGTGTAATGAACTTGGTCCCAAGGCAGAATGTGACAAGGACTTCGTGCAGCTCCTCCTCCACTATGTGCCCAGACTGTAAAGAACATTTTAAACACTGTCTGCACTTTCAGCATTTCCAGCAGGTCCAGCATCAGCCCTCTCAACAGCAGCACCAGGGAAACTTCCCGTGGACCCCAGGGTGGCACTGCGCAGAGACACCAAATGCCAAGCCATTCCATACCCCTTTCCCCGCCATCCTAGAAAGCCAGAGCACCAAGAGACCATCTGTGACATCTGGAGGAACAGCTGCAACTCTCTGAGCTCTACCAATACATTCAGGCAGGGACACGACGCACCCTGGTAAGCGTCCATTCCATATCCAGCTGGAGGATAAGAAGATCTACAAAATTCCTACTGGTAAATTTGGACCCTCCGATGAACCAAGGAACATTTTAATCATAGGGGACTCTAGTATTGGACTAGACCATCTGGAAGTATTGCCAGAAATCCAAACTGTGGGGCCAAGGGATGAAATTACTGTGACTGTCTCATGTGTACACCCATCACCCAAGCTTTCCTCCTACCCACCAGGACTGACATTTTACCAGAAAAACCTATAGTCTTGTGGGCTGAGACTGTAGGTTCAGACAGAGCTCAACTCACTGAGAAACCGCCTGTGCTGATCAAAGACCCAGAATCCAAACAAATAGTAGGTCCATTTCCATTAGTAACGTGGGCAAGAGGCTATGCTTGCGTGTCCACAGAATCTGGCCCCAGGTAGATCCCCGGCAAGAACATCAAGCCGTTCATCCAATCACTAAGTGTAACTCTGAGAGACACTTCCCCAGAACCTCAGAAGCAATAAAGAGACCAAACTCGGGCAGCGTGGAGGAGGAGAAAGAAAAATACTAAAAATAAAAGTCCCTTACAGAAGAAGATGACTCACTGCTGCTCCTGAAAACAAAAGACTCTGTTGAATTTTGTTCACTCATTGCTCACACTGTTACCCCCTCTGTGAGTGGCCTTAGATAGCTTCCCTGGGCAGTTGCTGTCAGGGTGCCTGTGGCACCAAGAGCATCTCCACTCCGGCCTGTGTCAGGAACTCCCCAGCCCACCAGACAATGTAATAAAAGCCAGAAGAACGAGAGGGCTCTGGGTAAAATCCAGCAAGGTTTACTAAGGAGAAATCTGAGGGTCCAGGCAGGGCAGGAGTGGGTAGAATCCAAGGAGGCAGCGTAGAAGCTCTGCTGAAGGGAACCGGAGGCAAAGAGCCAGGACCAGGGCAGGGGTTAAGGTATATAACTGAGGGGAGGTGGAAAGAGTCAGGATACAAATCATCCAATGGGGAGAGGAGTCAGGGGAGGGGTTGGAGTGGGGTGACTTGACCTGTACCCCATGGGGAAGCAAGCAAAGAGTGGCTTTCCAGGGAAGACTAATGGGAGAACAGGGGATACAGTATTTTCTAGAACCAGGGAGTGAACGCCTGGTGACCGGCAACCATACATTTGCCTGAAAAAGCAAGGAATAATGGGAAGTTGCACCAACCTCTGTGTTAAATGATGTTGCTTTCTGCTGGCTCCGGCCCCATCTTGAGCTTTTTTCTTCCCAGGACTTGCTCCTCAAGCAGCTCTTTCTTTTGCTCACAGGTAGTCCTTTAATATACTGCTCTTTTGCCTTCTCATAATCAATGTCATCCACAGCAGCAACGGCACAGATGATAGCTTTAGGTAAAAAGCGCATTTGAGATGAATCTGATGCCATCCCCCAGGATCTGGTGTACGTTCTTGGTGTCCACCTCCTTGTACACCTCCTTCAGGAACCCAAGCACCAGGTCCAGCTGTTCTTCATCCTCCAAATAAGCCTCCACACAGGTCATGTACCAGCTGGAACTCAGGAATTTCTTCAGCCAGTGGGATTGTTTCCCACTTTTCAAGATCCCCAGGAGATGCTCTTCAGCCCCTTTGGTCTTCACTATGAACTCCACCAGCTTCCTGTTCTCCCTATCCCTGGCAGCTCTGATCCTGTCAGGAAGAAGCCTCCTGGTGGGTTTCTGAGGGAAGTGTCTGAGGAAGACTGTCCATCACCTTCCTCCTTTGTGTTTGGGAATGCCATCTGCACCACACTCTGGTATCCCTCCTTCCTCACTGGGTAGCTGACATCAGCAGCAAAATACTCCAGGAAGGACCTGGTGAAAGAATGACAGCCCAGTCAGATCCGATAGTCCAGGATCAGCTGGAGGCACCACTTGGTTTCCCTGGAATAGTTCTCCTTGGCCCATTCTATGATCTCCTGCTTCTCCTCACAGTCAAAGTGCTTCAGGCTCTTAGAGACACTGAGAAATCTTTTTTCTTATCATTTGCGGTGCCATCTATGAAGAGCACACAGGCCCTCCAGTGCTTCTTCTTCACTGCTTTCACCACAGCTGGCCAGTATGGACACCGCCGCAACTTGCACCACACCAACATCCTTTCCTCAAAGAATTTGGGTCCTCAATGGGGCAGAACACTTGGGACATTTTCCTCCTCTTCATCTGCCAGAGGTGAGAGTGTAGGGAGGCTCTCTGAGGAAACTCTTCTGGAAGACATCCCAGAGGGTTCCAGCCTTTCATCTTCCCCAGAGTCAGGGGCTTTATTCCCAGCCAGGTGTGAGGTGTCCTGGTTTTCCTCCTCCTGAGGCTGAGGGAAGGTACCAGAAGGCCCAGGCGAGGATCCAGGGTGGTTCCTCTTTGCAGCCTTGGGTTCTGACTTTTTAGAGCAAGAGCGCAACAAGAAGCCGTGGGAGGGGGTGGGTTGGGCAGATTTCTCCCAGGAAAATTTGGGATTTGGTCCTTCAGCAGTGCTGCTATGCCCACCTGAAGTCAAGTCAATTGGACTTGACCCGACCAGCTCTGGCACGGTTGGCTGCAGGGGACACTCCCTGTATATCCAGGAGATTTGGGGAGCAGCTAGGGTTTTTGCCAACCCTGGGACAGAGGAGAGGCAACATCTGGGGAGGAGAATAAGAGGCTGACTCAGGACTGGCGTAACAGTCCAAGGTTTATTCCGGAGCTCTGGGGAGCTCTGCTCCTCAGGAAAATCAGCAGCCTGGGAAAGCGAGCTCCGGGCTCTCGCAACAGTTTATAAACAGGGATGGAAGGAAACGGGGAAGGGATCACCCACCACCCAATGAGGGGATTTGGGGGAGTGGAAGGTCCCCATCTTCCACTCTGACCCCACCAACAGACAGGTACACAGACCAATAGGGGAAGATTAAGGAAGGGACCCCTGGCCCTTGCGCAATCACTTGATGCCCGGGGTAGAAGGTTCTGGAAGAGTGGGGTGGGGAGCTGAGTGATAGACAAGGCACCAGGGATGGGACAGGGGAATAACTTTGCACTTTTGGGTGATGGATATTGAGGGAAGAGGTGGGAAAACTTAAGGCAAACCATTGGGGAAAAATGGGGGGTAAAGGGACAAACCATTAGAACAGGTACATAAAACCATGAAAACACAATAAAAAAAAAAAAGAGGCTGGAAAACGGGGCAGACCATTGTGGGGAAATGGGGGTACAAGAAGGAACCATTACAAAACTGGTACAGAATCTTAAAACCTTAAAAACACAATACAACACCTTAGGATTGTGGAGTGATAAAATCCCAGAAGTTCTGTAGCTATACAAGTTTTATGGGCTAAGATTGAGGAACTTTGAAACCAAGATGTGGATAGCAGGAACAGAGGTAAATTTACAAGCAGAATTATTCTGAGCTGTGGCTGTAACCTGCCTGACCTGAACAGCAAGATGAATTTTACTTGAATTACACAAGCACAGGAGCACACATGCTACCAGTTCCTTCCAGAGTAATCCCTGACACCAACACACCCTGGCACATGAATCCCAGGCTGTTTGGTGAGGTACAAAGTAAATACAGCTGTCAGCTGTAAAGACAGTATTTTCTTGTGCTACCAGCAATTCTCTCTGGAAACTCTTCATGTAAATCTAGTGGTAGGAATCTGCTATTTACTAAATTCCAAAATATGCTACGAAAACAACAGCCTGTCTATGATAAAAACCTCAAAATGCAAAACTGTGAGGACATCTCCAGAAAGAGGAACTTTATTTTCCATATTTTATAATACTTTAACACAGGTGTTTTCAACAAGTCCTTAAGAAGTGACAGTATGATTTTGCAAAACTTTTGCAAGACAGGTTGGGTATTTCTCTGGTCAATGATGTTACTTTGGAAATAATTTTAGTTATAAATGTTGCTATTGTATATATAATTTCATTTGTTTTAAAATGTAATGTTATATATTAAATAAGACATATAAGCTAAATATGCTAAATAGTCTAACAAGGAATTTGCATGCATGCAAAATTAAATTTATTACTGCAGTGTAATTTTTAATTTAACAAGCAATGTCTACAAAAAAGAGTGACATCTATTGACAAGTTCCACATATCCATAGCGGCAGCATCTGTCTTGGTCATCTATGTTGATCTAATGATCTAAGAAGGCACATTGGTCTTTTACAGTACACATTCTTAAAAATTATACATCTCTAATTTTAAACAGCTTGGATCCTTTATAAACAGAGACCAGTATGTTACTAAATGTGAACAAAAAATTCCCATACTGTAAAGACACAATTTTTCCAGATTGCAGGAAACCCCTTTTCCCATAATACTTTCAGATGAAAAGAAGATTTGGTGAAGGTCAGGCTAAGGCTAGGACTGATCACAACATTCTAAGTCAAATTTGGGGGTAGGGGTCTGCTATCATTGTCCGTCCCACTGGTGCATGGATTACATTTGACTCCTCACACCATCCACCTTGTTTTCAGCAGGCACAGATGTCAGAGGGGAAGAAATGAAAAGTAGAGCACAATGAAAGTAAGGTGGCTTTCCAAAAGAAGTAAACTGTCAAAGGTATTAACTTTTCCTAACATTGCCTCTCCAAATTAGCAGCTGTGTATGGTTGCTGTAGGGACAGTGTGCAATCAGGAACCCAGGAGACAGTGACTGTCTAGTCCCCAAGAGCCCAGAGGTGCCACAGTCAGGTGGGAGAATGGGGGCACAAAATTCCTTGACAAAGACACGTGCTGTGTCAGTGTTGGCAAGGAGCTGTGTTAGAACATTTCTCACGAGCTGGGAGTTACACACCTCACTGTGCCAGGACCAGAGCACTCAGTGTTCGGGGGACACCTCACAGGGATGTGTAACACCGCTTAATTCCTGTCAAACCTACATCTATGATGTTAAAACAACAAGGGCTTCAGAAAGGACTATTGCTAAATTAACTTTTAAGAAATGCAACAAAGTTCCTACAGAAAATACTGGACTAATTTTTGAATGAGTCATGACAGTCTGCTGAGGAACTAAAACATATTTTGTTTTCACAACAGCACCTAGATACCATCCTGATTCTTAAACAGTCAGGGCACATGTTTGGATGAAGAGCAATCATAGTTGCATAGGGTATAGTAGTGTTTTCTGAGAAAAGAGAAATACCTTTTTTTTCCCTTCATTCTAATGTTCTTCAAGAATGACTCTCCTTCCAACAGCTTGATTTCAACAAAAAAGGTACTTTTTCTTTGGCTTGTTGGGCTCCCCCAGACCCCAGAAGGAAGGTAAGTCTACCTCTTTTTGAGTCATTAAATCTTTGTTTGAAATTTTTCTAATGGCCATGGCAAAGCTAAAAATGGATTAGGTTATTTACCCCTTATTTGCAAAAAAAAAAAAAAAAAAAAAAAAAAAAAAAGAAAAAAAAAATATTAGGCCACAATTGTCTCTGCCCTAAAAACTGTTGTGCTAATCTACATTCCATAACCATATTATCCATTAGCCTGAACATAAGTAAGGAACCTGGAAACGGTCTTCAAATGGTCAGCAGAAATATCTCCTGTTGGAGAAGAATAAAGAATTAATGCAGGCTGTGAAACTCTGTGCCCTTGCTTCAGCACACAGCAGCAGTGATGGAACCAATCTATTCCTGTAGCCATGAATCATTTCAAAAGTCAAACTGCTTTTGCTAGGTAGGAGCAAAGAAACAATTCCTATTCTAGGGAAGGGTCAGAGCTGAGAGTCAGGAGTCTCTTCTGCTTCCTCCACACTTGTCCAGAGTCAGACCCTGACACAAGGTACAGTCTGAACCCGTCCCAGCCTCCAGATGCAGAAGGAATGAAATAACACCAGATAAAATGTAACATGGGTCATAAATATAGTCCTCTCATAAAATTTTAACAAGTTCAAAATAACACCACCAGAGGAGACTAAAGACAAAAAATTAAACTATATACAGAAGGACTAACAACAGATTACATGGAAAAAAAACCCAAAATCCTGAAACTGTACTACATAAGAAAAAGTTTGACATATGCACATATTTTGCTTCCAAAAGTCAGAGGTGTTAAAAATCAGACAGAAGAACCCTTCCGATATGTGAATGTTATGAAATTTAATTATTATTTCTTAAAGGCAGAAATTATTTCATTTTATTGTTAAAGCATTACTAGTGCTGTTTACTCAATATATAAACATTGGTCTGCTGGCACTAGCATGGCAAACTTATGCATAAAAGCTTTGATCTCTCAGTGATTACACTTAATATTGCATCTACTCAACTGCAAAAGCAGCCTCCCCAGAGCTTTCTTAGCTGTTTTCAGTCAGAGAATATTTTGGGCCAAATTGAGTAATGCAGATTTAAAAGACTGGAATTTTAGTTCACAAAAAATGCTTGAAGCCACAAAACATAGTAATTTTCAGGCAAATGGTGACCATGTGCTTTCTTCACATTCTTCAGAGAGAATTGTCTTTGTTTAAATCACCCTGAATTCATTATTTGGGCATTACTCTGAACACTGCATTTCCCCATCACACCTGAAGTTGATAACCTGTCTGACCCTTTGTTTCAGCTGATGAACTTCAAGCGGTGCTTCACTTCTTAACGTTTTATCTAGCACAATTAAAAATTGGGAAGATTAATATACCTTACACAGGAGCAGGGGATGTAGATGGGAAGGCCATCACCGAAATATGCAAGAAGAATATGTTTGCTTATTTTATTGTTTCCTGAGGGTTGTTCTCTCCCCCCTTCCACTCCATCAGTACATAAATTATGCTTGTGCTTCCTTACACCCATTGAATACCAAACCTCCCACCACCTTCCTTCTTATGAAGATCATGAGTTAGAGAAGCAATAAAAGCCACATTCTTAGGCTACAATAGCAACATTTAGAGGTATTTGTCTTTTCCGTTTTCTGACAGATCCATTACCAGTTCATTAGCCTTTAGTGGGTAGAGACATTCAGTAAACAAATGAAAGTAACTCCATTTAAGAGCTAGTGAGCTAAATACAGCTCTCCTGCTCAGCCTGCTAATTACATGGAGTGTTGCGAGTGCACACAGAAACAGAGCCATCCTTTGCTGCGATTTTAGAATATCTTAAAATTCCTGAAAGCCAAGACACAAAATTAGCTTTCTTTGTCAGTGGCTACAAAGATGTGAAATGGAAAAGTAGTCCAGCAGCGTTTGTGCTACTCCATCTTGCTGTAGTCCAGAAAATATAGAGAATATATATTCTAAATGCAAAAGATAATTATCTTCCTCTTCCACTCTATTCCCTTGTTGAAGTGGCAGACTGCTCCAAGTACTACAAGAGCACAGTAGTGGAAAGGCCAACATCTTCTTAATTTTAAGCTTAAAAATATTGAAAAAATATATGTAGGAGGAGTGGCACATGAAAGCCGTCTTGATATCTGTGGTACAGGTTACTTTAGAATTAAAAAGCCCAGTATAAATGCCACCATGCCAGGATGCAGCATTACTTGTCCCTCTCTACGTGCTTTTTGTCTATCCTACATTCATGTTCCTGTATAGAAACCAGGGAGCCAATAATTTGGACAGTAACCACCTATAGATAATTACATTAAATAAATTTAAGTTAATCAACACAACAACACTTTACCTTGGCTAGAATAGAGGTA